GAGTTCCTGAGTTTGTGTAGGACAGCCTTCCAATACTTGGGAAACACCTGCCTTCTGAATATGTAGTTCTACTAACTGATTAATAGCAGTAAGATGGTTTGTGTTTGGCTCTAAATCTTCCTCATTAGTACTAGGAGACACCTTTTCTGTCATCTGAATATGAATGTTCGCTTCATCCCTATCTTCAATCATCTCATAGAGGGGAGCCTGAGCACCCTCCACGGTAGGTAGAGCCTGGGAGTTGGGGTGTAACGAACCGAACACGAACGAACAGTGCTCGTGTTCGATTCGTTTGAAATATAGTTTGTTTGAAATAGACTCGTGTTCGAAATTGAAACAATATTAGTAGACAAACCATTTTGCACCGTATCCGTCATGGGCATAGTAGTAGGTATCACAGGCAGTGAGGAAGAGGGTATAACCTCCGAAGAAGTGTGCTGAGAAACGGGAGGTGGGTCTACAGCTGACCGTAGATGGGGATGCAACCGATAACAGGATCAAGAGCTATGATCAAACATTCCACAGTAAGAGCAGTAATGGGGATGAGGTCCCATCGCAATCTTTTGCCAATAACCCTGATGAGTGGAGCCAATCCAAATCTCCCCTGGAAATGGTTGAGTGATGTCACGCTCTACAGACACACAAACTTCAGATGGTCTGGTTGTATCAAGCGAGGGAGTATCGACCTTCAGCGGTTTTCCAAAGGCAGATGCCAATGTATAAAGGTTTTCATAATTGAAGAGATGTACCTTGAGCCTCGGAAAATTAACCCAAACGAGGATAATAAGCGATTCTAATTTAGGATCAAAATTCACTGTCCATTTCAGAATTTTCATAAAACGATTATCGATTTTGAGAACTTTTTGAGCAAAGAGTTGGGTATAATCTGCGTCATTTGGGGTATAGAGCAAAGAGTTGGGTATAATCTGCGTCATTTGAGGGTTGAATGAGAACGTGATGACCATCTAGCGAACCAACTTTCCAATTCCCTGTGAGCTTAAGAGAATCGAAATGCTTTCGAATAATCTCATGCTTGGGATTTCCATACGAAAATTTCCCAACAAGAGTATATCTACATGCTGAAGCCAATATACTTGTTTTCTCATCAGTGAGAAACAAAGCGGGTTTGTCATTCTTGTTTCTCAGTTTTTTAATAAAGGTATAATCACCTCCAGATTCATGTGCATCTTGAAATTCTTGAGGGAAGAAACAGGAACGACCGCCTGCCCCGGGAGTAGAACCTCCGGAGACAGCCGCGGCATAACTCGAGGCCATTCCTCCAAACCGGAACAAAAATCCAACGCGCGAACATTGGAGCTGGAGCTACGACGAAGGGAACCCAAATCTCAAACAGAAACAGGGATACAACTGGTCCGGCGAGCAGGAGCGAAGCCCTTCGTCGTCAAGAACGAAGACCGAAGGACGCGAGCAAGCTCGTCGTCTGGCAGGAAAGAGACGACTTGTGAGCAGAACGAAGGCGACAAGCCCTTCATTGTCGGGTACGATAAAGCCGAAAGCCGCAAAATCTTCGTCGTTGGAGACGACGATGCCCATGGAGGAAGCCGATAGTTTCAATCGCCATCGGCCGAATCTCTAGAACAGCCCGACGCCGTCTCCATCAGAATTAATTTTATATATATGAAAGCCCAAAGACGAATATATTAATAAAAGTGAAAGATATAGATAGTTTGGATGAAAGAGCCCAAATTGACACATTAACGACCCGACATACAACAGACACGTAGAGATACATGTATACCCAAAAAATGATTAAAAGGTAGACAGAGAAAAAAAATGCGCCAATAATCTGCCAACACTCGTAAATTCAGTTAGCTTGCGAAAGATCCAATTTAGTCTTGCTTCTGCCTCTGGTTCTCGGACAGGAGCCAGCTAACAAATTATTAAGTTTACTATCATTACCCGAAACAACTAATGTATCATCTATAAAGTTTGGTAATATGCCTCCATTCTTCTTTTTTTTCCTAGATGTATAAACATGTCATTCCTCATCTGAGAATTGACTCATCTGATCCGTGGATTGGTCCAAAGGTGGTCAGATAAGTGTAGGTTGTTGCACATCACGAGCCCTGTGTCTGACTAACAGTAACAACTTGCTCGTCCTGATGAGACGGTAGAAACACAGTAGAAATATTGCCACTCGTTACATCAATGGTAGGTTCTAGGGCAGGTGAAGTTTGAAATGTCTCCCTCGCCCCCACGAAAGGAGGTTCCATATCCGAGGAACATACAACATTGTGTGGAGGCTGAATGGTTGACATATTACTTGCGATAATAATGAGATTTTCAGGGGTATTTTTCTGATGACCAATAGTATCAAGAACTTGGAGCAGATCAGGAGGAAGGGGAATCATTGTCTCTGGCTGAGCACTTTACTTCTTTGATCTGAGATGGGGGTGTAGATGGTGACATCGAGAACTGGAGTGACTGAACATACTATATTTTGAGCAATACAAAAGAAAAGGCTCAATCACAACATTTTGTCAATATCCATGGTGTTGTGTGCCTAACGAAATTTCCTTAGAAGCGATTGAAGTGGTGTTCCTTTCAACAAATACCCTGGTTTCAGAGGAAACGAGAAAGATTAAAAGTAGGAATGTCCATTTTCAGTGGCTTATCATAGGTTGAAGCAATAGAGTACAACACTTTTTTAGTACAAAATCAACCGACCATTTCAAAATCTTCATAGCTCTGTTATCAATACAGATTAATCTTCTAGCAAATAAGCGTGTGTAATCTCCTTTTCATTATTAAGTTGAATACGGATGTGTCTTCCATCTAAAAGTCTAATTTTCCACTCCTCAACAAGGCACATAAGCTTAAATTTCTTCCAAATAAGCTTCATTTTGGGATTGTCATAAAGAAATTTCTCGACCAAATTCAGACGACAGAGGAAGCAAGCTGATTACATTCAGCTTCCGTAAAAAAGATGGTTTACTTCTCATTCTTCCTACTAGGTTTTTTGTTGTCCTCTGTCAACTCAAACGAAGGAGGGAAAAAAACATGATTTATGAGTACTTGAGTCGTGAACACCCGCAAGGGCAGCAGCATATGATCTGTTTTAATTCATCACTAAAAGAGTGAGAGTGAGGCGCAACGATGGGAAAACGAAGTTACAGTGGACGGAAGAGAAAATGTCGAAAGAGGGATCAACGACATCCCCGTCCAAGTCAAGCAGGGGGCAGAAATGGTTACAACTATAAATAGACCCTCCCCTTTCTTTACTTAAGGGGGGAGACGTCAAATTTTCGTGCTATTTTGGATTGAAGACTTGAAGATAACTTCTGGTCTCCGCAACCGCCTACCATAGTCTGCAGGCCGCCGTCGACTATTGCTGACTGCCCCCTGCTCGCTGTTGTTGGTGAACTTTATTTGCTAATGAAATATCTTGAATATGAGGTAATGAGGTATCCCGAATATGGGGTAATGAAGTATTCCTAGTACAGTGTAACGAAGCAGCCCAAATACGGGTTAATGTCGTATCTCGAATATTGTGTTAATGTCGTATCTCCAATATTGTGTAACGAAGTGTCCCGAATACGAGGTAATGACATTTCGAATATTGTGCAGCAGTGTATCCTGAATATGGTGTATTGAAGATTCGACAATAACTCCTGACAACAACTGCTTACGATTATCGTAAACTTTTTCTTTATAAGTGATATCTCTGGTGTAAAATAACAAATTCGGAAAAATGGTTGCAACCACTAATTGATGTAGCTCCAATTACGTGTTATGTGACTAATAATAACCTGTATAGCTAAATGCAACTGCAGCTACCAACTATGTCTAACTATGACTTATGTAGCTAACTGCTACTGCAGCTATAAACTACGATTTATTTGACTAACTACGGCCTATGTAGCTAACTGCTACTACAACTATCAACTACTGCATGTGTGGCTAACTGCTACTGCAACTATTAACTACAAATTCTGTGGGTTGACGACTGCAGTTACTATTTAAAATTTATGTGATCAATCACGGCTGATGTGACCATCTACTACTACAGCTTCCGACTATGACTTATGCGGCTAGCTGACGTTATTGTTGTCACTGATTATAGTATTTATGATAAATTGTTACCTTTGTGGTAATTAAGTACAGCTTTTGCGGCCTACTATTGCTATTATCGCCAAGAATTACATTTGTTTTTGCTTAATTATGATAATTAAAACTGGATGTCTATTTTACATATGTGATTATCAATATTATAATTTCATCTTCTCTAATTCAAGAAAAGAGTTAACCTATGTACTTAGATTCTTATAGTGAATTACTTTGATTGAGCTAAACCCTATGATTTTTCCAATTAAAAAATTGTATGTCTTCTCATGTTACTTTACAGTTATTTGTGTGTTGGATCATCGTATGATGCTAAAATATTAAATAATTACTCTACCACAGATTTTTTGACATGCAACAAGTATGTATTGTCATATATATAATGGTTTAATGATTTTTTTAATATATCATCCTTCTAAAAAATTGACTCGACACGCCAGCTTGACTTAAAAAATTTGGGTTCAGGTTAACCCAAATAATATTCGAGTTGGGTCCAGGTATGAAAATCTAACCCATTTAATTTTTTTGGGTCAAGTGGATTGATGCACCAACCCAAATGTGACTCGGAATGACCCGCTAATTTGAAATTGAATTATAGTTGACACCTCAACACGAAATGGACCCGAATTTGACCTGAATAGCTGTTATGTCTTATGTTAAACGTGTTATATGGAGTAGCGGATTGATGACGAGTTAGATTTGGGTTAGAATTTTCTGACCCGTTTAATATTCAGTTTGGGTTCTGGTCAAGCAGTTTTCGATCAGGTCAATTTCGGGCTAGACTCGAACCCCATGAACGCAGTTTGACACCCCTACTAAATGTTTAATGCCACCTTATTTGCAACTTCAAATAAATTGACCATTTTAAAGGTAATTGCTTTCCATGGTCGCTGAAATCTTTGAGGTTTTGCTGATAGGTATGCAACTCTTTGTATTCGTGAGAATCCCGGTTGCCTTTTCATTGCTACCAATCGTGATGCTGTTGGTCATCTCACAGAACTCCAGGAATGGCCAGGTAATCCTTGGATTAGTTATATTATATATGGAAGATTTACGTACATCCCACTCAATTCCTATGTATTTTCATATGTAACACCTAAATTTCAATTTTTACCCATACACTACCTTAGATATGCTTGAAAAGCTTTATTTCACTCTTTAGAAGTCAAACTTGTGGCTTCATGTGATAAGAAATATTTGGTTGGTATGAATGTAAAAAAGTAAAGTTTAGGTTATATATATATATATGTAGATACACACGATGTAGATACACACGTTATTATTAATTATTTTTTTAGGATTGTAGGTGCTGGATGTATGGTCGCTGCTGTATGTGGATCAGTGCAAAAGGAACCTGTTGTTGTTGGGAAGCCATCGACTTTTCTGATGGACTTTTTATTGGAGAGGTATGAAATACAATATAACTGGAAATAACTTCTTGCCAGCGTTTTAACTATTTGTTACACTAATTGTAGGTGTTTTGTAGTTTTTAAAATGTGTTAAGGGAAAAATACTAGTTGAATACTATTGGTGATTACTGATGAATTATCGATGAATATGAAGAGATTATCAATAAAAGAACTTTAAAATTGCATTTTTGACCTCCAACTAGAGCTTTCATTGTAACAACTTCCTTTCTGCATAAATCCTTCAGTTTTTTAAATATTGAACTTCATTGAGAAGCATGTTTCCAATTTGCAACGGCGTGGGTTAACAACTTGTGTAGTATATGTTATGTTGAAGCTTTTGAATTTTCTTAATCATCTACATGATTAAGTTTTAGCAAAGTCTTGGTGCTCCATTTATGAAATGTTGTTCTAAATTTCGGATTAGTTCATATAACAGATAATTGTAGAATCTACACAGGATATGCAGTAGTAAACACACCAGCAATCTTTGTCCCAACTGTTTGCTGTGCTGAAATTTCTTTTTACATTTTCATGACCAATAGATACCAGATTACTACTTCTAAGATGTGCATGGTTGGGGATAGGCTGGACACGGACATACTATTTGGAAAAAATGCCGGATGCAAGACTTTGCTAGTCCTTTCAGGTTTTGCAACATGTGCTACTTTAAAATAAATAATATGTTTAATCAAATTTTGAAAAAGAAAGGAAATAGCAAGGACTCGTATTCTCTTAAATGCCATTGGTTTTGCAGGCGTGACAGCCTTGTCGGATCTCAAGGATTCATCTAACAGCATACATCCTGATTATTATACAAGTAATGTATCTGATATTGTTTTGTTATCAAGAAAAGAATAATGTTGTAGTAATAATTCTATTGTAAATCTTGAACTTAATGATGTATGATATCATCGTCGTCATCATCATGATGACTCAACTTATTCAACTATTTGGACATCGGCTTAGTTGCAGCCAATTTTATTGAAATGAAAATTTGCAAGTGTTTGGTCTGCATGGAAATTTGGAATTTAGACAATGAATGAATAAAATGGGTTTATTTGGAATTCGATAAATCCTAGTACAAAATTAAGTAGAATTTAGCAATGAAATTTCAAATTGACTCTGCATTAATGATTTTTCCCTCCATTATATCTTTTTTTATAGTGTATTTGTTCATATAAATAGTGTGTATTAAAAATGTGTATATAATGAAGTCTAGTTTTGGGCTTGTATGATAAAAGTAAAGGTTACAATAATTTGACAAATAATCAAGATTTGGAAAAGAACGATTATAAAATGAAATTAATTTCGAAGTTGTGCAAAAATTTGAGATAAATGATATTCAATGGGTATGATCAAAAAATGAGATTCGTGAAGTAGTTATCAAGTAATTAGGGCAAACCTAAATATCATTAGTTTGATGATTACGATCCTCTTTTGGTAAGTAGGGGCCATAGTTATGACAAATGTTTACGTACGGAGTACGTATGCATTTCTGCGTGCATATAGAGGTTATTCAGGAGGTGTTGGAGGGTTATTTTGGTGTTATCAGAATAACAACAAATCATATGAGCGTGGAACAGTGGAATATATTGGTTGGTTATTGGGGGGTTAGTGAGAAGTTATTAGAGTTGATACTCCAATAATCTCTCAATAACCCCCAATAATTGAGTTATTGAAAGATTATTTGGGGGAGTACGCACACATAACTGCGTGTGTACTTCGTACGTAAATAGCTCTCAATTGTTATAGTATTCAAATGATTATACTTATATTCCTTGTCGATATCTCGTAGAAGATTTGCTCTCTAATTTGATTATATTTGAATTTATTTTGAAAATGCGCTATAAGTTTTATCTGATCTATGTTTATATGTATAAAATTAGGTCTGTAGATTGAACATTTTATCATATTTTATGAGTATAACTCTATGTATGGCCAATGCTTAAAATTCATGATTTAGGGGCTTTCAAACACTATGATGTTAAAAAAAATCATTCACGAGAAAATATGCAAATCAAAGAGCATTTTCTCTTCACGTGAACTTAGTTTTGTATACTTTTGATATATTGAAATAACACGCGATATTACTTCAAATATTATGTCATTTTTTTTTTACTCTTCATATATATATATATATATATATATATATAATAGAGATATTTTACCTTAATGTGGCGAGGTTAAGCCTCAAGGCGGATGACAATATAAGCCTCAAAATAAAAAGAATTAGATGCTCAAAAGAAAGTTGTCGAGGCTAAAAAGAATGTTACAAACCTGGACCTGGATTTTTGTAGTAATAACATATGTTGGGATGTTTTATTACATGGGCAACAGGATTTAAACAAAGTTATGACTATGGAAGAAAATCTTTTTGCTTAGAAAGTTGCTAAGATGAATTTTCTAGATGTTGATAGAAATACAGCTTTCTACCATGCTTGTATTAAGAATAGAAGGAATAATAATTTAATTAATAAAATTGTTAATTCGGATGGGAAAATTATGTACACTTCTCGGGAAATTGAAGAGGATGGTATAAAGTTTTTCACTGCTCTGTTTAATGGTGATGGTAAGTTTCTTACTAAGATTAACATTGACAATTATGATAACAATGCTGAGATTAATTGCGGGGATCTTACCTGCATTCCTTCTAAAGAGGAAATCAAAAGCATCCTTCATAATATGGAGGATGGTAAAGTGGTTGGCGCGGATGGTTTCACAGTTGATTTCTGTGAAAAAGCTAGGATATTATTCATTATGAGCTGGTAAACACTATTCAGGATTTCTTCAAAGGTGTTGATTTGCCTTAGTATTTTAAGACTTTCAATATCGTTTTAATTCCTAAAGAAAAGAATGCTACTTCTTCGGACAATGATTTGGAAATTTAGACCTATCAATCTTAATACTGTGGTGTCTAAAATTATCTCAAAAATTTTAGTTAAAAGGATTCAAACTTTGCTTCATAATCTTATAAGTTTGAATTAGACTGCTTTTATTAAATGGAGAAATAACTGTGACAATGCTTTAATTGTTCAAGAATTACTTTTAGACATGGATAAAAAAGGTAGTAGTGGAAATGTTATTTTTAAAATGAACATTAAAAAAGCATTTGATACTATCAGTTGGGAGTTTATCTTAGATGTTCTTCATGTTATTGGGTTTCAAGGTATTTTTTGCAGTATTATTGGAAGGTTTCTAGATAATAACTTTTATTCTATTTTGATTAATTGCAAAACTTATGGTTTTTTTAATTCTAATAGAGGTATTAAACAGTGTGATCCATTATCACCTTATCTTTTCATTATTTCCTTTGGCTACTTATCAAAATGTCTTAGTAATTTGTTTACTAAATATCCTAGCATGTAGTACCTTCAAAAAGGCATGGTTGGTATTTCTCATTTATGCTTTGCTGATAACATAATCATCTTTACTAATGGTAATAAAAAGTCCACCAAGAGGGTTTGGAATGAAATTTCCTTGTTCCATGATATTTCAGGTATGACTTTTAATACTTCTAAATACAATATTTATTGTTCCAATTATGTTTCTGACATTAATAAAAATTAGATGGTTGACTATACTAACCACCACAAAGATAGAGTTCCTTTAATTTATTTAGGTTTCACCTTAGATAAAAACAGTAAGAGAAGTACTCTCTTTTCTAATTTAGTTGATAAAATTAAGGATAGAACTGAGAATAAATTTCTCTCATTTGGATGAAGAATTACTATTCTTAAGAGCATTCTTACTTCTTTACCTCTTTATGTTATGCAAACCATGCATATGCCTTTGAATTTTGTTAATAAATTGGAAATTCTTTTTAATAAATTCCTTTAGGACAATAATGGCAGGCATAACATTCACTAGTAAAGTTGGAATAAAATTTGTAAGCCTATTGACAAGGGTGGACTTGACTTTCAGAAGCTTTCTGATACCATTCTTATTAACCATATGAAGTTATGGTTTAGATTTAGGCAAAACAATTCTATCTGGCCTTCTCTCTTAAAGGCTAAATATTGCAATGACAAGTGCCTTCTTACGGTTACTCTTTCTAAATCTGATTCTTATATTTGGAAAAGTATGCTAAAGGTCTCAAAAGCAACTGAATGTCTTATCAACTGGGACATTGGCAAGTTGACTTTGAGGGGTGAAACACTAACTATCAATTTGGTACCACGAGGCCACCATAGGGATCTGATGCTGTGTGTACTTCTACAATCGAGGATCTCAAGACCTTCTATGTGCCTCCTAGGCCTAGTTCAAAGGAGAAGGGCATTTTATTTTACGAAGTCGATGCTCATGTAACCAACGCTAATGTAATGCTCTTATAATAAGATAATGAAAAGGTGGAGGACATACCACTTTCTTTCTATTTTTCTCTTCTTATCACTAGACACTTGGCTACTAGGTTATTACCTGAATGGTGGTCTATTAGCCAAGCCAAACTATGTAAGGCTATGTGGCAGAACAGACCCCCATGAGATAGATTCGGTCTAGAATATATCAAAAAGTGGGGTGATGCTAAGGCCCCTAACGCCTCATGTATGATGATCTTCTCACCTTATAGTCGTAAGGTATCTACCTCTCATGACTAGAAACTTGTAGTCAAAGAGGTCCCTTTTGAGTTGGAGGACGGCATTTCTTTGGTCGTTGATGAGTTGATTGAAGTCAACTTAGGCAAAGTTGATGATCCTCATCCTACTTATATTAGCAAACTTCTGGTTGCTTCTATGGCTGGCAAAATCATTGAGGTTCTCAAGAAGTTTCATAACTGCATCGCTTGGAGTTATTTTGAAATGCCTGGTTTGGCTTTAAAGGTTGTCTCCATAATCAATCCATTGATTCGAGCGTCACTCTTGTGAAACAACCCCCTCGGAGGATGCAACCCGAGATTGAGTTGAAGGTCATTGAAGAAACCAAGAAGCTCATGGGGGTTGGCTTTATTAGGGAAGTCCCTTACCCAACTTGGCTTGAACATCATACTGTTAGAAAGAAGACATATATGAGTTTGCATTGATTTTTCGAACCAGAATAAGGCTTACCCAAAAAACGACTTCACTCTACCAATACCAGAGTTGATGATAGATGTCACCTCTTTGTATACAATGTTCTCATTTATGGATGGTTCGTCTGAATACAACCTAATCTAAATTTCTCCAGAGAAGGAGCAATATATGACATTCCCTACTCTGATAGACATCTTTTGTTATATAGTCATGCCCTGTCTCAAAAATATCAGGGCAACCTATTAACATGTTGTGAATCACATTTTTGACAACTTGCTACATCATGAGGTCTAATGCTATATCGATGATGTAGTTGTCAAAATTCATTTCAAAAAGGAACATCTTTCAGATCTAAGGACTATCTTTGAATGCCTTAGAACCTATGATCTAAATACTAACCCATTGAAGTGCGCCTTCGGCATCTCTTCCAATAAGTTTTTAGGCTTCATAGTCCGGCATATGGGTACAGAGAATGACCCTAGCAAGATTAAACCTATAATAGAGATGGAGCCTCCTAAAAGCTTAATGCAATTGTGCTCCCTACAATAGCTAGCATTCATTAGGAGGTTTATTTCAAATCTCTTTAGGTGTTGTCATCATATCTCAGCTATGAAAAAGAGGGATGCCCGTTTTCACTAGGATAAAGCATTTCAGGGCGCTTTCAATAATATCAAGTGTTATATGCTTAATCTATTATTTTTCGCTGTCCATTTCATGGGAAGGCTCCTTATACTCTACATTGCCATCATTGATGAGTTGATAGGAGCCTTCTTGGCTCAGGTTAATGTAGATGGGAAAGAGGGTGCTCTGTATTGTCGCAATCGACACCCCATCCCAGCCGAACTGAAGTATCTGCCAATCAAGAAATATTGTTTGGCGCTAATATTCTCAGTTCAGAAGCTGAGACTCTCATGCTATATTAATCTGATCTCAAGGGTAAACCCCTTGCAGTGTTTGATGACTCACCCCACTCTAGCTGGGTGATTAGCGAGACGGGCCATGCTTCTATCACAGCCTCAACAAGCTATCAAAATATAGGCTTTGGCTAATTTTCTAGAGGCACATCCAGTCCCAGCTGACTCACGACTAAATGATGGCTTTCCTGAAGAGCATCTATTAGTCATCTATCTCCCTTAGTGGGAGCTGTGCTTTGATGTAGCGTCTTTTTTAAAGGAGATCCCGTTAAGTTCTCTCCCGAGGGTGAAGGCTAGCATCGGCCTTATTTTTGTTTCCCCTAAGCATGGTGTTATTTTTTATTCTTAAAGCTTAAAAGAGCCGCGTACAAATAATAAGTAGAATATGAAGCCTTAGTTCTTGGGCTGGAGTTAAACATCTAGAGGAACATCAAAAAGATCAAAGTTTATGGGGATTCTCAGCTCATTATTTGCTAAGTGTTAGGAACCTACAAAGTTCTTATGTCGGATCTCTTTGCTTATCATGAGAGAGTTATGGCATTACAAGAGCACATCCCTCATGTCACCTTAGTTAGGATCTCCCGTTCAATAAACAACAACGCTGAAGTTTTGGCTAAGCTTACTAAGACAGTTGTATCCAAGATAGAAGGGTCCTATCAGCGATGTCTCTTGAGCCTCCAGGAGCAGCTCCTAAATTGACAGCCCTACCTTCTATGTGCCATTCTATTACTTTTGTACTTTCCATATGCATGGTTCATAATTAAATCACTATGAAAGTTAAGCGATATTTGATCTGGCCATCATTCATATGCTGTAAAACACAGCCAATGACGTGATATTTGAGTTTTAGCAACATAAGAAGCAGAAAGAAAAAAATAAATTAGTAGTTAAAAATTCCACATATATATTATTTCTCACATGATCAAGTCAAATATTATCTTCTTTTTAATTTTTGTGTAAAATACTAATCGTTTATCAAGTAATCAAGTAAATTATTATCTTCTTAGCTCAATTTTTATTCTAGGAAGCCAGAATTCAATATTTAACTCCTGAAAATGAAAAAACACTCTGATCTTAGAATTAAATATAACAAGTCACGAGCCAATTTCGAGTTGGAACAGATTCAAATACTCAATTTGAGCAAATTTGTTTCAATTTCGAGACTATTTCCGAGCTGAAATGGATTCAAATAACTCAATTTGAGCCGGCTTGAAATTGAATATAAGAAGCCACAACCAATTCCGAGCTGCACTAAATATGCTCGAGCTGATTTCAAAATTGGACTAATTTGATGCAAAACTAGCAATCCATGTGTCAAATCTCTTACCCTTTATAATTACTTTGTAATGTGATTAATGTTTTCTTTTGTATATATTTGATACAGGTTCGAATCCCACACTTCACATCTATTTTTCTCAATTTTAATTTAAGGAGTCAATTTCGAGCCGAACACGAGCCGAACACGAACATGAATATTTAAATCGAGCCGAATATGAACACACTGTTCACGAGCCGATTTCGAAGAGCTATTTCGAACGAGCTGAACACCAACCAGCTCGTTTATAGCCCGAGTAAATACACAGGAATTGTGTGGTATGTAGGCAAACCTTCCTCACTATAACTGCTCAAGACATTAATAAACAGATAAGAAAGGGAAAACAAGCAGCGGTTGCAGTTCCATCAACAGACGTTTCATCCCCCCTTTCAATTGTGATTTTTGAGCCCTAACGCCTGATCTCAGCTATAAAATGAGCAAAATCTCTGCAACTTCTTCATCGCATCCTCTGCCGCTGCTTGAATCGGCACATGGAGCCCATTACAGCCGCAGCCTTCGCAGGCGGAATTATCGGTCAAATCGGCATTGTTGTCGTCTGGTGCCGACCTATCTTCTCCTTCGTCCAACGCTTCATCGATTGTCTTCGACATCCGAGGCCTCCGCCTCTGCGGGCAATTACAGCTCCATGGCACGCACACCAAAGCTAGATGCTGGAAGTGTTTGTCTTACAGTTATGTAGTTCAGTGGTTAATGTCTTATAGATCTCTTTTGCCCTGATGAAATAACCAAAAAGGTTGATTTACATACATACCACTCAATTCTTGTGTATTTACATATCTAACATGTAAAGTTTACCAGTTACATTTGTACCACCCCAATCTTTCATATCAAATCAGAAATATCATTATTTTAAAAGTAAAGTTCACCTTTTCATGCATAGGGTAAGGTGGCAAATATGTAAGAACTGAAGTTTAGTTGTTAGATATGTAATTACATGAGCATTGAGTGGTATGTATGTAAATCTTCCTTACAAAAAAGATGCATTTCATTGGTGTTCTTTTGTTTCTGCAGAAATACAGTAGAAGTAATATGCTACAAAACAATTCATGCTAGCAGCAGCTTTTCAAACTGTTAGAATTCTATTTGACTATAACCTTTTGCTATCTTTCAAAATTTTTAGGAAGATTTACATTCATACCACTCAATTCTTATGTATTTACATATTTAACACCTATACTTCAATTCTTACATATGTTTCACATGTGGCATGTATGCAAATGCCCAAAACTTTTATGGCAAGAAATAAGCTTTTATAATCAAACCATATGTCCAAGAGATCAGCAGCAATTACATACCAAGTTTCGCAACAAAATAAAACACAACCATTTTTTACAAAGCTTAAATGACATCCCAACCTCTGAGAATCCAATTACCATAACTTATTTTGTATGTAAACATTCTAAGGAAATAAGGAACTTAGAAAAAAAGGTATCATTTTTTCTGCAGCCCTTTCTTATTGTGCAACAGTATGGTAATTAGCAGGATGACTGATTATTTAGATATTGGTGGGACGAAAAGAGAGCCTGATCTGATCATCACCTTCGATTTCTGTAGTAGAAAAAAGCACAACTAACCGAAGCAATAGCAACGGCAAAAGCGAGGGTGGCATAGGTGCCTGGCTTTGGTGGCTTGAGCCATGTTGTAAAATTCTTCTTTTTATCAGTGATTTTACTGCTGCTGATAGAGTTGTTTTCCTTGTGATTGGAATGTGGTTTATCTATAGCATTCTGGCAGCAGCTGAGGTTTCCATTACCTTGGCAACAGCCTGAAGCTCTATCCTCCCCAATTGGGGTATTTGGCTGACACCTAATGCTCTGAGCTTTTCTTTGTTCCTCTACTGACAAACCCATCTGGCCTCTGATAGTTGAAAGGAAATTGCAAAATGTATTAATGGCAAAATGAGTTCCAAATATTTAGGACTACATGATAAGAAAGCACAACCAAAATTTTTGAAAGAAAAAAGGAGGAAGAGAGGGAGAGAGCTTGAGGATCATTATTTTGCATCCAAATTTCATCAAATTTTCAAATGGTCATGGCATCTAATGATTTCAGTTATCTTTGGATAACCATGATTTGATGTGTTGAGTTTCTCATCAATTGTAAGTAGATATTATGTCATTGGTAGCGATGATCATAAATCATAGCAGCATGAAGATGAAGTGATGCAGCAAAATTAATATCGAGCTTTTTGTTTTATTCTTGGTTGGGAAGCGGGGGAAATTTACATACAAAGCACAAAATTCTTATGCATTTCACATCTCGCACCTAAATTTTTATATTTGCATACATAACACTTTGGTGCTTTAATGTATGCATGAAATGTTGTATCACTTGTAAAAAATGATAATAGTACTATGTTTTTTGTGATATTAAAGACTTGAGTACTATGTGTGTAAATATGAAAGTTTAGTGGTGAGATATGTAAATACATAAGAACTGTATGCTATGTATGTAAACTCCCCATTTTTATTCAATATATATATATATATATATATCTTATTAGTATTATTATTAAATCAATTTAATAAAAAATTTTAAGACTTACCTTGGTCGCCCTAAACAACACAATCGCCCAAACCACACGATTGTCTCCTCCTTCACACGGTTGTAGCATGCGCGACTCCGTCTCCTCTCTCTTACGGTTTTGGCTCCCTCTCGCACGAATGCTCGACTTCGACGCTTTTTTTGCCCTCACACATCACAAGTGCATCTTCCTTGTTTCCTCTTTCTGTGCACGACACCGATGCTGGCTCCACTGCTTGACACCCACTCGCCTCAATTTTGATCGAAGCACGAAAAGTCTGTCTAGCATCTGTCGTCTCCCATATACTCCGTTCAACTCTTCAGGTAAGTAGGCAAAGACACTTTATAAAGCCAAAACGCCTTTTTGAATTCGGCTCTCTCACTGCCTCTCCTCCATCTTCGGTTTCCGGAGCTTCTCGATTCCTTCTCTTTGGCTCTTCGTTAGCATGACTCTGCCTCATATTCTCTTCAAAAATTTTATTCTCAAAATTTAAAAGTGGACCTCAAGTCACGTCTCATTAAGCGTGCCAACATTAACTATCCATAATATTTTCTATTGAACTCCCTTATTCTATAATTTTGGTTGTAACTCTATGTGTGAATGGATAGTAACTATTACATTGAGTTAACTTTAATTTTATTTCTATATTTTTTAAAATTTCCTATAATTATCATATTAGCTCTTTCATCTAGATTGCATTAATTAATTATAAACCTTGGCTCTGAAATTACTTTCTTCATGACCCGGAATGGGGCTTGAAATTAACTAAGATGGTAACAAACGGTCGAATGATGTCTATTAAATTTTTTATATTTATTTTTTATATCTTGTTATTAACATATGAAAGTGTCACTAATCAATTTAATTGAAGCAGTATATTTAAAATTTACTTCGTTATTGGTTGTCTGTATCTTTTATAAATAATTTCTCGTCAATCATTCATTTTTTAATCATTTATTAGCATTCATTTTTGAAGTCACGTATTTTGAACACCTTTTTGAGTAATATGGGATCATATTGCGTCCTTACATACCTTCTCGTAGCCCAAGAAGTTCATAGAACCTTCAGCGAGCACACATGGTCATGCCCGGAAGTAATTACCATTGATAGGCATCGGTCCCTGAAGAAAGAAAAGAGCAAATACACTATTACCAACACATTAAGTGGACAAGAAAATCTTCACTGCATCATAAACGAAGATCTATAAATAAGAAATTTCTTCCATTTATGATTTTCAAAATCTTATATCACAGGAATAAAATGGGTTCACTTCAAGGGACAACAGGGAAACAGGATTACTTCTTTTGAAGCTAGTAATCAAATGCTACGTGTAACTGAAAGAAAAATTAAAATGGTAAACATTAAGGATCAATGACGTCTAATAAATTTCTGTCAATTTCAAAGAGTACCTGCAAAATATCAAAATGTTAAGAATATCCTTTAAGAAAATCCAGAGACCACCTAACACTACATTTTTCATGCAACTGTTTTAAGAAATTATTCACCAGTACCATTGAAGGAAAGTTTCAAGTTCCAAAGCATAACCTCGATGTAGAAAAAATTCATATGCAAAATGCTGTTAACAACTTTTAAAGCCTTTAACAACTAAACTAGCTAGAACTACCACAGGTAACATTAATGGTAGTGTATCACTAACTAATTAGGCCTGCTTTTAATCATTTGAATCGGTGCTAAGCCTATGCTTTTTTTTTTCTATTCTGCGGGAACGATTATCTTTGTTAAAGGTATGGATTTATAAGGTTTAAGTTATTTGTAAAATTTACAATCACTCTTTCTAATCTATGTTCTAGAGCTAAAATTCATATCTTAGGTTTTTCAAGGTCTTGTATATGCAGGGCGCGTGCATTTATAATGTGTATGAGAAAAAAAAAAATTCATGTCAAAACTTACTTGCATCCTAAATGGTAGTTCATCAAATCAACAAAGTCTTCTTTTGGCCATTTTATTTATAGCTTAGATTTTGTTTTATTTCCATACACGTACGAACATGATAATGTTCTACAACAGTATGGATTTATTGAAGTGTAAGGTCATTTATAAACTTCACAATCATGTCATGGAATAGATGCATAACTAATTAAGAATTTTAGAATTGAAATCATCTGCATCCTTACAAAATGAAAGTTTCTTAAGGAATTTACATGCATAACATAAAATTCTTATATATTTACATGGATAATATACAAATCTTTATATTTACTTGTACAACACTCAAATCTCTTAAAAAGAATGTTTAACTGGAGTAAAAAGTAAGACATAAGCTTACAAGTACAAGGGTGATGACATCCCAACAAAGACCCAAAACAAACTAAACAATGAACACTCAAAAACAGATCCTTGTTTAATTGTAAACATCCAATAAAATAACAAGAAAATCTTAAAGATCCTCAGCATCATTCTCACTATCTGGATTTTAAGAGATCCCAACTATCTAACCTTCATATTTTTTTGCAAATTATGAAATCATCACACAACCCTCCAAAACAATGATAAATCAAGAGGAGCAACAATGACACTAAAGGCCTTTTCTTTATATATTTCTTCAAAGAACTCGTACCATTAAATCATTTTCATCTATTAAAGGTTCATCACCCAAGAAAATCCCGAAAAATAAAATAAAAAATATTCCCCAACAAAATTGAGCCATCATCTACGTTGGATAGTTCAATAATTCAATGATTGAAGCTAAGCAGATCATTAGGATCGTCATCAATAATGAAGAGAGATTTTTATTGGGGGGGATCAACACTAAGATGAATTGGTTTAGCGAACGAGGGTAGTCTTGGCAATAAATCATTTGAATTATATTCAATGTCTAGCATCACATCAAACTTTAGTGATTGGAGGTCAATAGAGGAAGACTAAGCAATAACTATTATATTCCTCAATCTAGGGGTCCTGCCACACTGAGCAGACGGTAGCAATAGCACTGTTGGTAGAGAGATTAAGGCAATATGAATATAAATGAGGATCACAAATAAGATAATTGTTCTTTTCCATAACCTAATTTATAAGATAATTGTTCTTTTCCATAACCTAATTCTCTTGTTCCCAACCGCAATACCCAAATTTAGGATTATCTTGTTTAGTAGACACGAGGAAAGCATAATCTCGATGCCGGCCCAAAAGCTGTCAACTCTTCTAGGTTCTCAAACAAAATCTAGAGTAGAAATTCAATGAAATAAATAGAAAAAAAATATTAAATCTTGTCAAAGTATTTGACCATCTAGTTATCACCCTATTTGGGAACTGTGAAGAAACATTTTACCGTTTGAATCTCCATTTATACCAATTAAATAAATGTATTGTGCACAACAAATGATCAAATGTAATGAACCGTTGGAAACAATGCCTTGCTTATAGTTCAATTGGAGCAAAACAATATGAACCCTGTGGAATTGAGTATCTACCTTATAATTACTATTGCATGACTACTAATACAAATTAGAGAGTGATACAATGGTTTAAATTTATCATATAAAAAAATTTAGGATATGTTGAATCCTAAATTGTCTTCTTGCAGAACACGCCCCGAGAGTTAGAACCGAGAGAGAAAAAGTGAGAGAGAAGAAGAAAAGGAGAGAAAGCAAAGGAATGTAAGAGAATCTTCAAATGCAGAATTTTGTCGAGAGGATCCAAAAAGGTCCTTTATTGATTTCATGACCTCTTATTTATAGAGGCGTCCAGGAATACAAGTACAGGTAAGGAAAGCACACTTTTTATAACTGTCTGAAAGATTAAATTCAAATTACATGGTAATAAAAATAAAGGCGACACGTGGTCAATGCCTAAAGCCTTGAGGTCGGCTGACTGTGTTGCTATCAATCGATTGTGTCGGTCAATTGCATCTTCTTGGCAATTGGGTTTAAACATGGTGTGCGGACCTTTGCTAGCAGTCTCGTGATTGGTAACTTTGTCGGTCGACAAATTTCGCTAAAAAGATTCCTTTGATTTGTTATGTCGATCGACTAAACTATAAAGTCGGTTGACTATTTATTGTTGAGTTATCTATTCTACCATCCGACACCTCACTTGTGCTCCTTTGTTGTTGATCATCCGATTTCCTCGAAATTTGTGTTGGCATATTTGTAGTATGCATATTAGTTACCCGATTTTTTTGCTCCTTCATGGCGATAGCTATGAGAAGGACAGAAAAATTATTTAAGCAGTAAAAGACACAAAAATTGAGATAATTAATCAATAATCAACTCTCCCTTGATTTTCGTGCCCAGTAAACCCTATAAATAGAGCTAAAGGCTTTGCGCTTTCCTTTTCCTTATCTGCACTCATAATCATTTGATTAATACCATAGCCGATGGTTCGAGTAGAAAAGAAATTGACATCCACCTTCTAGCTTTGGATGGCTTTTGGTTTCCTGCATCTTCTACAATGGAAAACAAGAAGTGAATTGTTAAAAAAAAAAGAAGCGAACGACACCCGATCTTGAGCTGGTCAAGAAAGTTACTTCTTCTGACAGCACTGATGCTCGGCCATCGAAGAGGACGTCGACGGTGGACCATTTCCTAGTCACTGGCACGAGCACTAGTGCAGTCGTTGAGGGGGTTGAGCGGGTCGCTCCTCCTGTTGAGGCAGGTCAAGATGAAGCGAGAGAAAAGTTCACCGAAATAAATAGATGGTAAAATCATTTTCATCTACCAAATGTTATCACCCAAGGAAATCCCACAAGATGGAATAAAAAATATTCTCCAACAAAATTGAACCATCATCTACATTGGATAGTTCAATAATTCAATGATTGAAGGTAAGCAGATCATTAGGATTGGCATCAATAATGAAGGGGGGTATTTATTGAGGGAATCAACACTAGGATCAATTGGTTTAGCGGAAGAGGATAGTCATGGAAATAAATCATTTGAATGTATTCAATGCCTAGCATCACATCAAATTTTAGTGGGTGGAGGTCATAGAGGAAGGCTAAGCAACAGCTATTCTATCCCTTAATCTAGGGCTCCTGCCACACTGAGCAGCAATGGTAGCAATAGCACCGTTGATAGAGAGATTAAGGCAATATGAATATAAATGAGGAACAAAAATAAAATTTATAAGATAACTATTTTTTTCCATAACCAAATTTACGATTATCTAGTTTAGTAGACACGAGGAAAGCATGATCTCAATGCCGGCCCTAAGGCTGTCAACTGTTATAGGTTCTCAAACAAAATCTAGAGTAGAAATTCAATGAAAGTAATAAAAAGGTAATATTAAATTTTGTCAAAGTATTTGACCATCTAGTTAGCACCCTATTTGAGAACTGTGAAGAAACATTTAAGCGTTTGAATTTCTATCTATACCAATTAAATAAAATTATTGTGCACAACAAATGATCAAATGTAATGAACCGTTGGAAACAATGCCTTGCTTATAGTTCAATTAGAGCAAAACAATATGACCCCCGTGGAAATGAGTATCTACCCTGTAATTACTATCACATGACTACTAATACAAATTTAGAGAGTGAAATAATGGTTTTAATTTATCATATAAAAAAAAATTAGGATCTGTTGAATCTTAAATTGCCTTCTTGTAGAACACGCCTCAAAAAGTTAGAGCTAAGAGAGGAAAAGTAGAGGGGGAGAAAAAGAGAGAAAGCTAAGAAATGTTTGAGAATCTTCAAATGTCAAAATTTTTCCGAGAGGATCCAAATCCCTTTATTAATGTCATAACCTCCGATTTACAAGGGTAGGGAATATAAGTACATGCAAGGAAAGAGCGCTTTCCATAACTGTCTGAATAATTGAAATCAAATTACATGGTAATGAAAATAAAAGAGACACATGGTCGATCGCCCAAAACCTTGAGGTCGGTCAGTTGTGTCGGTATCAGTTGATCGCATCTTCTTCTTGGCAATTGGATTGTTTAACTAGGGTGTACGGACCTTCGCGAGCAGTCTCATGATCGGTAACTTCGTCGTTCGACAGATTCAGTTGAAAAGATTTCGTCGGTCTATTATATCGGTTGACTGAGCTTGTAAAGTCAGTCGACTATTTGTTGTTGAGTTATCTGTCACCTCACTTATGCTCCTCTATTGTTGATTGTCAGATTTCCTCGAGATTAATGTCGACATATTCGTAGTATCCATATTAGTTCCCAGATTTTTCTGCTCCTTGAAGGGGATAGATATGATAAAGATAAAATTATTTATGCGGTAAATGGCACAAAAATTGAGAAAATTAATTCAATAATCAACTCTCCCTTGGTTTTCGTGCCCAGTGAACCCTATAAATAGAGCTAGAGGCTTTGCGCTTTCCTTTTCCTTATGCGGGCTCTGAGTCTTTTGATTGATATAATGGCCAATGGTTCGAGTAGAAGGAAATGGATGTCCACCTTCTAGCTTTGGAAGACTTTCTGCTTTCTGCGTCGTCAACAATGGAAAAAAAGAAGAGAATTGTTAAGAAAAAGAAACGAACGATACCCGACCTTGAGCTAGCCGAGAATATTGTTTTTTTTTCTGACAGCCCTGATGCTAGACCATCGAAGAGGACATCGACGGTGGACTTGCCTAGCCGCTAGCCCGAGCGCGGGGCTTGGGTGGGTCGCTCCTCCTGCCCCCCCCCGACCCCCCCCCCTTGGCTTACTTTGCCAAGTGAGAACAAAGATGCCCTGAAGCAAGGGACGGGAGTTTTTATAACTCTTTCCGAAATAGATAGAGTTTTAGGTCTGTAAAAATATTTCTTTTTATAATTTTTTAATAATCCTTTGACATTATTCTCAATGTAGATGAGCTAGTCGTTCCGGAGGCCAGAATCGATGGCGGGTTGTCCCAGGACGTCGTTGATTTTACCTCGACATTCGCTATTGTGCCTTTAGGATCAGTTACCTCCTCCCGTGGTCGACCAATCTTTATGGATCTGCCACTTCACCGACTCCCAGTAGAAGCAATTGCAGTGTTGGCAGCTGTCCTCCGCCTTAATGGAACACCGTATGACAGAGATGGCTGGTCATTTGACCCAAGCAGCTGAAAAAATTCTGTCGAAGCATCCGCGCCAAAGTGGTCGGTTCGCTGTGAGCGCATGGAGGCAGGGATTGCCGCACTTCAGCGAAGGTCAGCTTACATTACTAGGTTGGAGGAGGAGGTTGTGTCACTCCGGGGATCCATGCAAGATGTGCTCGCTGAGTTAAGTCCCATCCGTGAGTTGATTGATCTCAGTAGATTTCATCAAGATGTCAACCGGATGGGAGATATTAGGTTTGGTGGAGAGATGGTCTTCCGGAGAATGCTTCAAAAGAGGTATGCCCTGGCTGAAGCGACAAAAGACCCTTTTATAAATTTTTTCCTTTGTGACTTGTAATGATGTTATTTGCAATAAAATAATACTTAATTAATGTGAAATGATGTTTGGTGTGACAATTATGTTATGTGACCCCTCGATTTTTGCGCCAACTTTATAAATAGGGCTATGGACTGTCTTTTATCCTTACGTTTTTTGTTTTCCTTCTCTGCGTCTTCCAATTCTTCCTCCTTCCTTTCGTCATTCAATCATTTCCTTGGTTTGATATGATAGCTCCCAAGTATTCTCCCACTCTCTTTGGTTCCTCCATCGCTGTGATTCTCCTTCGTAATTGGCTCCACTTCTCATATGTCGCATGTCCACGCTCACTGCATCATCTTTTAGAAAGTTGAATCCTAAATTATCTTCTTGTGAAACACGCCCCGAGAGTAAGAGCCGAGAGTGGAAAAGTGAGAGAAAGGGATAAAAAAAGAGAAAGCTAAGAAATGTGAGGAATCTTCAAATGTCAGAATTTTCCCGAGAGGATCCAAAAGGTCCTTTATTGATATCATGAACTCCTATTTATAGAGGTCCAGGATAAGAAGTACATGTAAGGAAAGAGCACTTTCCATAACTGTCTGAATGACTGAATTCAAATTATGTGGTAATGAAATAAAGGTGACGAATAGTCAATCGCCCAAAGTATTGAGGCTGGCTAGCTGTGTCGGTATCGGTCGATCACATCTTCTTCCTAGCAATTGGGTCGTTTAACCAGAGTGTGCGAACCTTCGCTAGCAGTCTTATGATTGGTAACTTCGTCGGTCGACAAACTCCGCTAAAAGATTCCGTCGGACTATTATGTCGATCAACTGAGTTGTAAAATCGGTCGACTTTTTGCTGTTGAGTTATCTGTTCTACCATTCGACACCTCAATTATGTTCCTCTGTTGTTGATTGTATGATTTCCAAGAGATTCGTGCTGACATATTTGAAATATAGAGGATCCAAGTAAAATTTTCTTTTTTTTTAGTGGCAAAAAAGAGAAAGAGTACCTCCATAGATGATCTATAATCTCTCCTTTCCCAATTTGCTGTTCAAGTAGCATGGGAACGTCATCTGGACTGACATATCCATACCTATACAAGACAAAACCAGATAGATTAATCAAATTGGTGAAGATTATAAAAAAGATTCATACACTTCAGTAAGAAAAAAGCAAAATTTCAAATGACAAAACAAAGGTCTGAACAGTGCTAAAAGAGCAAGCTTCATACATACTCCAATTGTTCACATTTATCTATTTCACAATCTCATTTTTTTTATTTACATATATAAATAGCAAATATTTTATAATTTTATGTTTATAAAAATTACAGCTAGGGCTTCTGCATAACATCAGAATACTATAGTAGAAAGTGAGGCATTTTAATCTCCCTCGCTCTCTCTCTGTCTGGGTGTCTACGAAAGAAGGATCTTAAGTAAATATAAAATTTCTAGGTAAAGCATCATGTATGTAAATATTCCATCCCTACTAACATCAATGGAAAATACCAAAAAACCCTTTAGTAGTGCACAAACTCACCAATTTCCAGACACATGCCCTGTTTTACTTCGACTAAATATGATGACATTTCCAGCATACTTATGACCGCCAATATGCGAGCAAGGACTAACAAACACTTGACCATCAAGACCACGTAAAGAAATCTCCTCCTTAAACTTTTCAATGAGAGGAGGCCCACAAACACCACACCTTCGATCCCGACTACCATGAGCGCATACAAAAATATATGAACCAGTCAATGTCTCAACTACTCCAGAGAGCCATTCAGTCTCCTTCACAAGCACTAAATCAACAAAATTATCTATATCACCATCTGTCAATCCCCTGCAATCAAAAATGGAATTTTCTACTGCTCTTGCATAAACATCAATATAAATAGGTTATATGATAAAATAATGGAAGATTTACATACATACCACTCAATTCCTATGTATATAAGTATCTAACACTTAAACTTCAATTTTTTCAAATAAACCACCTTATCTATGCAATGAAAGGTGCATTTTACTTTTTAAAAGTTAAAATGGTAGTATTTTTTATGTGATAAGAAAGGCTTGAGTGGTATGAATGTAAAAAGTGAAGTTTAGGTGTTCAATATGTAAACGCATAGAAATCAGGTGGAATGTATGTAAATGCCTCTAAAATAATTGATTGCAATTGATTATCTAACCGATATCCAATCATTTCAGGAAATATCAAAACATCTCCTTCTGATGTATCAGTACTATCTGCTGCTCCACATATGGCTAAACGAGTCTGTCAAAAAAGTGAAGAATGAGCATGTTTAAAAGCTACAATACAAAAATAATAGCCCTATTCTATCAAAATAGCACTTTGATGAAAAGCACTTCAGTTTGAGCTGATCTTCAAGAAAGGAAAAACTTAATTCCTTGTCTAAGAAAGAGCTCGCCCTATTAAATTTTTTTTAAAAAAAAAGGATATTTAAGAGTGAAATCCATTTGTTCTTCTATCATGAACAAGTCAGGCTGCTTCAAAACAAATAATTTCTATTTCTTTGAGTATTTGTATATTACCGGCAAAATTACAGGTAATTACTTGTATGATAAAGCACAGAAATTGAGTGCTAAAAGATATTAATATGAGCATAGGGAAGGGTCAGATGATAAACAAAAAAAAAAATAAGACTCGGTTCACTGAATGGTAAAGTTTCGTTATAATTTTGTCTACAATCTGACCTAGAGGTGTCTAGGTCCAGGAAGAATCAAAGTGAAGAAATTTTTCCTAGAAAAATGAGAATTGACAAGCTGTATGGTGCGTTCATGGGAGCCAGACGAGTCAAAGTCTCCAGTTGTTCAAAATAAAATGCCATGGTCATAAGAGTAGGCACTTCATAGGTTCTAGCATGGTATTCAACAATACTCTTCACCAACTATTTTCATATAGAAAAAGGATTGAGAATTCCGTATTTTTCATTTAAAGATAGTAGTGTGTAGCAAAGAAAAAATGAAGTATTACTGGGTTGAAATTTTAATCACATTTAAAATGATTTAAATTTTTCCATTTACTCTTAAGTCTTAAGATATCAATTATGTATAGTAATTTGCATACTGAACCTATTTAAAATAAACAAAAAAATCATTTTTCATAAATTGTGATTACACTATGTTGGCTTGATTATCATTCCAAAGTTCCTGCCCTTTTGTTTTAATAATGCCGAGTACATAATCTCTACATATCTATATGCTAGTAGTACAATATGCTAGAGTACAAGCGGCTTGAAATTTTGTCCAGTAAAGATCTCGCCATTTAACCTTAATCATCAACTATCTCACAAATTAATTAACTATGTGACTAAAACATATAATAATGATTTATAGCTTTTGTAGAATTACCTTTTGAATTACTAGAATTTTTGCTAAATAAAACCTATATTTTTCAGTTGCATCTTGCAACCAAGGCATGGGTTTGTAACTATGCCACTAATCTTAGTAGCAGTAGATTTAGTGGCAGAGTTGTAACAATGAATAGGTGATCAAGTTAATAAAATGAGTGAACTGTTTAGATATCGTGGTTCTATTGTCCAAAGTGATGGTGATATAGATGGGGATGTTATTAGTATAATTCAGGTTGGATGATTGAATTGTAGAAATGCATCATACCAACTGTGTGAAAGAAAAGTACCGCTTAGACTTGAAGGAAAATTTTATAAGATTGGGTGAGACCTGCAATGCTTTATGGAGCAAAATGTTGGCCTATAGAAGAGAAGCATAAAACTAAGTGTTGTTGAGATGAAAATGCTTAGTTGGATGAGTGGCTTGACACTTAGAGACAAAATGAGAAACAAATGTATTCGTGAAAGGGTTGGTGTAGCTCCAATGGCAGAAAAGATTAGAATGACTCGTCTTAGATGGTTTGGTCACATTAAACGTCGGTCATCTGATGATCTGATTAGGAGATGAGATGTTTTAGATTTGACTTATGTTTAGAAAGTTAGAGGTAGGCCTACCAAGACTTGACCATGTTTAATAAAAAAATTATCTTAATTTATTAGAATTTTATGAGAATATTACACTCAATAAGATACAATGGATAAAAAGGATTCATGTACCTGATCGCACTTAGTGGGATAAATGTTTGTTGTTATTGTTGTATCTTATAACTTTTGAGGGTTTAATGTAAAAGAAGTAATCAAACTAGTTAAAATTGCAGCAAAAACATAAAAAAATGCTTCTTGGTACAACAAATATGCCTTTTATTGTACTCTGATTATCTGAAAAAATATAATTATCTTCCAAACTAAATAATAATTAATTTGGGTGAATCAAATCAGCTCACAATTCTAATTTAAATCCAGTAGTTCTTTTATTTAGTTATCATAACGATTTTTTTAGTCACCACCCTATTAATTTTCTTGTTAAATCTTATATTCGCAAAAACTCTAAATTCAAAAATTTAATTCCAAATAGTCTACCATGGCCCAGCAACAAGAAAATGTAACCAAATTTAATATCTAACGTGATTAAAATTTTTCAGGATTTAACGCCAAATCCTGATTTGCATGAATTACTTGTTGGGTAATGTGGAGACCCGATCCACCACAATTTAATTAGTTTCCTAATTAAGAATCTCACCTACCTTCCCACCTACCGCTCACCTACCACATCTCACCTACCGCTCACCTACCACATCCCACTTACCGCTCTCCTGATTTTTATAAATAGTCTCTTATGGTTTGTCATAAACAAGCCAAGCTAAGCCAAGTCAAAGTCAAGCCAAGTCCTCTAAGAGAGAGAGAGTAAGAGAGAGAGGAAGAGAGAAAAGAAAATAGAGATTATCTTGTAAACGTCAAGGAGCTCGACAGTGTAATTCCTCGAAGAAATAAAATCCTCTGCAGCTCCGTGGACGTAGGAAAATTTGTCGAACTGTGTAAATCTGTGTGTTGCTCTGGTGTTTTTTCTATGTGCAATTTTTCTCGTTCCATTTTTCGCTTTATTGTTGTTGTTTTTCACAACAACTGGTATTAGAGATTTGGTTCATATCTAAGAAAGAATGATGAACGGAGACGAAGTGAAGACATCGGGGGTCGAGAAGTTCAATGACACAGATTTTGCTTATTGAAGGATGCAAATAGAGGACTACCTCTATGGGAAGAAACTTCACCTTTCGTTACTGAGAAAGCGACCAGAAAAGATGGACGAGGCGGAATGAAATCTGTGGATCGACAGGTTCTAGGGGTTATTCGATTAACTCTGTCAAAATCGGTTGCCCACAACGTCATTAAGGAGAGGGTTACTGCAGATCTCATAGCAGCTTTATCAGACATGTATGAAATATTATCGGCGAATAACAAAGTGCATTTGATGAAAAAATTGTTCAACTTGAAGATGGCGGAAGGTGTCTATGTTGCTCAACACTTGAATGATTTCAATACCAAATCAATTGTCGTCTGTTGAAATTAATTTTGATGATGAGATACGTGCGCTGATATTGTTGGCTTCATTATCAAATAGCTGAGAAGTTATGAGAAACAGTTCTGCAAGTAAATCTAAATTGAAATATGATGATATTCGTGATTTAATTTTGACTGAAGAGGTGCGCAGGAAGGATTATGGTGAGGCCTCTTGTTCAAGTTCGACACTGAATGTTGATTCCAGAGGGAGATCACAAGACAGGAACTCAAACAGAGGAAGATCAAAATCAAAGTCTGGTCAGCAGATAACCTGCTGAAATTGTTATAAGGTTGGCCACATAAAAATGAACTACAGGAATCCTAAGAAGAAATAAAATGATGGTGCTAATGTTGTAACTGAAGAAATACAAGATGCGCTATTGCTGGCAGTTCACAGTTCTATTGATGACTGGATACTAGATTCAGAAGCTTCCTTCCATACATCTTCCCGCCGGGAGTTAATGCAAAATTATGTTGCAGGTAACTTTAAAAAGGTATATTTGGCTGATGGAAAAGCTATGGACGTGATGTGGATGGGAGACATTGATATTGCACTCCCTAACAAGAGCAAATGAAATTTGCAAAATGTCAGGCACGTTCTTGAGTTGAAGAAAAACCACATCTCTGTTGGGCAGCTCAATGAGGGTGGTCATTTGGTGGTGTTCTCAGATAATACCTGGAAATACCTGGAAGGTTACCAACCTGGAAGGTTACCAAAGAAGCATTAGTACTGGCTCGGGATAAGAAAACTAACACAGTATATATGACTATAGGTTTACTCAGGCGATGACACATGAGTCAGAGATGCATTATGGAGAAGCAGAAGAATGTCAGTTTCCTGAAAAGTGGCAGAGCGCCCAAGGCAAGAAAACCGGACCTTGTACAGACAAATGGTGGAGAACCACAGAGCTATGAAGAAATCTTGCAAGATGAGAATTCGAGTAAGTGTGAGCTGACCAATAAGGAGGAGATGAATTTCCTACCAGAGAATCAGACTTGGGAGCTGGCAGAACTTCTACCAAGGAAGAAGACATTGCACAACAAGTGGGTGTACCGGGTGAAGACTGCGCTTGATGACAGTAAGAGGTACAATGTTAGGCTTGTTCAAAAGGACTTTTAGCAGAGTCATGATATTGCCCATGCAGTGGGAGTTATAAGCAGATACATGAGTAACCCAGGAAAGAGCTTGGTAGTATAAGGCTACGTTGATGGTGATATGCCAATTGAGAATGTTATTCGTGAAAAGTTAAAGTTGTGCTCGACTTCAGCTGGTCTTCTGGCATGAAGACCAGAGCTTTGAGTTGCAGAGGTGGAGGATATCATTTTTGAGGAAAAAGTTGGTACAGCTAGTAAATGATACAGTCAGTAGGTGATGCATTCAGTGTCTCAGTCTCCAAGTTGGAGAATTGTTGAGTAATGTGGAGACCCGATCCATCGCAATTTAATTAGCTTCATAATTTAGAATCTCACCTACCGCTCACCTACCTTTCCACCTACTGTTCACCTACCACATCTCACTTACCGCTCACCTACCTCTCACCTACCGCTCTCCTGATTTCTATAAATAGTTTCTTATGGCTTTTCATAAGCCACGACAAAACCAAGTCACGACCTAAGTCAAAGTCAAGTCAAGTCCTCCAAGAGAGAAAGAGAGGAAGAGAGAGAGGAATGAAGAGAAAAAAATAGATTTTCTTGTAAACGTCGAGGCGATCGACGATGTAATTCCTCGAAGAAATAAAATCTTCTGCAGCTCTGTGGACGTAGACAAATTTGTCGAATCACGTAAATCTGTGTGTCACTCTGGTATTTTTTTTGATTTTTTTTGCATGCAATTCAATTTTTCTCGTTCCATTTTTCGATTTATTGTCGTTGTTTTTTACAACATTACTAAACCCTACTTGTATAAAACCTATCAATAGTGTCGAAAAACATGTATAGTTTGTCAAAATTTTCACACAAATAAGCAGCATCGGGGTTCAAAGCTCAAAATACATTTCGAACCAAAGAAGCTGCTCACCTTTTTCTTCATATCGTCCTTCCGCGCCTTCATCGCAGCGGCAAGGAGGCGCGGCAGATGGTCAGACTCCGGCCCCTCAACGTTAGGTAGCCACAAATCCGGCGACTTGTACCGCAAGAACAAGTGTCGATCGTACAATTGTACTGTCCCCACAAGCGAATCCCGCCGGAACTCCGATCTCTGGAATCCGAACTCCCTCGCCGACTCTGCATCGCCAACGGCTTCTGAGAAGGTCTCCTTTCGGGGGTCAGCGGAGGCCGAGGAAGCGTTGGGGCCGCCGATCGAAGAGGAAAAAGAAGAGGCTTCCATGGATGAGGGGAAGGAGAAGAAGAAGACGAGGCTTCGTAGGGATCGTATTCGAATGTTAGTGGAAGAGATTTGAAGAGCTGAACGCGGCTGCCGCTGCATGCGACAATGTGGAATTAAGTGGGAGGGGAGACGAAGAACGGAATTGAGAATTTGCTTTGCTAGAACGAAAATTCAGACGTTTAGACCGCGAACACTAATTACGTGTATTACTTGAGTCAAAATATTTGACTTAAATTTTGATCATTCTACTTTAATTTTATTAAATTTATTTTGAGAAAAATATAATATACAAAAATTAATTAAATTTTATAATATATCCTCTTTTTTGTTTGATATATATTCGGATAAAATTTTAATTTAAAACATTTTGTGTTTTTTTTTTAAATTTAATTTAAGTCAAATTTAATTATTTGAAAGAAAATAAATTTATTTTAAAATAAAAGTTTTATTAAATTTGATGTTTCATTGAATGTAAATTAATATGAGTTTTAACTTTAAAAAAAAATTTTGATTTAGTGAATGATGATTTTCTTTCATAGTTTCCAAATAAGTATAACATAATGCCAATTTGTTTGCTCAAAATTTTATATTCTATTTTAAACTTTAATTAGTTCTTTAAATTTTATCTTTGATGTGGTTAAATATTCAAATGGATTTTGAATCCTAGGGTTTTTTAATAATCTCAAAAAAATATATATGATGATTTATGTACATCAAAAATGTGTCAACACGAATCTCAAAAAAATTTAATAGCCAACTAAAAAGATGGCGTGGCAAGCTAGAACCACTAGGGCAAGTTCAAGAGTCTGTATTTATCCACCCAACTCCTGTTGGCTGAGAGAAATCTAACCCCATGACGGATGAAAGTCAACGACCTTCCTAAAGGGTCACACGGATGGACCTCGTAAGAACAATTCAGCAACTCCTCGTTCAAGTCGGGCGTTTGGCAGAAGTCGCTCGAATCTTAGACAGGTAGCAGGAACCTCCAAGCCAACCCTTCATCCATAGTCACTCGGATCAAAAATTGATCTCGCTTTACAATTACGTATTGACCAAAATATCTCATACCATACCAACTTTACTAACGTACAGATGTATGTATGGTTCTCATTTATATAAATAAGTAAAGGTTACTCGATTTACTATTCATTTATGTGTTCTCTCTGCACTTTTTTTTTGCACTATATTCCTTAGGTGTGTCTCCCTGACATATTTGGGTTTAACATCCAAAAAGGTGTGGTGAGCACACAATTATGTCGTCGATAAAAAGAGGAGCGCAACAGTCGCAACAAAAAGAGGAAAATCAACAGACAAACATAACCAATGTAGAATGTAATAAAGAATTCAAGGAAGAGTTTGCGTAGCGAAAAATACAAAGGTTAAGAACCCAAATAATGAACCAGATGTCGGGCTAGATTGCGGAGGTCCTAAGGTCTATCATGACTCTAAGAGGCGAACAAGCTTGTTTAGAACAGAACCCTCCTCAAGAGGTGGTGTCGAGCACAACCAAAGAAGGTTGAACCATGGCCCAAAGAGAAAGATTCACAGTTCCTGGATAGTGTTGGGTATGCACAGGTAGAGAGGTAGCAAGACATGCACACTGAGGCCCTACGCCTACTGAAGATTATCACTTCTATGCAAAAGAAGGGGAACTCCCCCCTCCCCTCCCCAAATTACTTTAACCGATGTTGATTTGTCCCCTAGGGTATTGTTATAACAAAAATTAAAAAAAAAATTTGGTTGGAAGTATTCTGATCGACACCATTAGCTCAACAGACATACTGTTTAATTCAGTTTTTGATAAGCTCAATCTTCGAGCCAACCGGCTCATGGAACCAGGCAGTCTCCTGTATGACTTTTCAGGAGAAATAAATGAAGCACCATGAGTGATGCCACTAGCGTTTACCTGGGGAGAAGGTTAGAATTAGTTCACTGAGATGGAGGACTTCCTGATAGTCAGCTCACTGCCCACATATGTTGTCAATTTTGGCCGCCCGCTGCTAAACCGTCTCAAGTTTGAGGTGTCCACTTACGACCTGACATTCAAGTTCCCAAGAGGTGGAGAGTTGATCATCGTCCGAGGAGATCTAGAGTAGTCTCATGTTTCCTTTGGGCAGTATGAAGTGTGGAGAAGGACTCGCTTGACTTACAAAATTTGAGAGAAGGGGTTCTAGAGACCAGTGAGACCCTAGAGATTCTTTTCATCGATGGGGAGCCCGATAAATCTTTTCTAATGTGCAAGAATTTTGATGTTGAGTACATGGAACTACTAGCTCAAGTGTTTCAAGACCATTGAGACATATTCGCTTGGTCAGCAGTGGAGATTCTTGGAATACGGGTTGACATCACTTGCCATCGCTTGAACGTGAACCCCGCCATTCAACCAATAAAGCAAGGGATCAGGAATCAGCGACAACACTGGCTGAACCCATCAAGCAGGTGATATTAAAACTGAAAGAAGCAAACTACATCCTGGAGGCGCAATACCCCAAATGGGTCTTCAACATTGCAATGGTTCAGAAGGCCAATGGGAAATGTCGTATGTGCGTGGACTTAATAAACTTAAATGCTGCTTGCCCAAAGGATTGCTATCTGTTGACCAGGATTGATGCCCTAATAGGTTCAACTATCGGTCATTTTGTCATGAGTTTCATGGACCCCTTCTTAGGGTATTACCAATAAAGATGCACCCAACCAATGCCAAAAAGACTGTTTTCATCACCATCGATGTTGTTCTCTATTATAATGTAATGCCCTTTAGGCTCAAAAATTCTAGGGCAACATAATAGCATTTGATGAATATAGTATTTGTTAATCAAAAAGAAAAATATTGAAGCCAACATAGATGATGTCCTAAATAAAAGTCATGCCTTCGTAACACATAAAAGATTTAAAAGAAACATTCCAGACCCTTAAAAAATTAACATGAAGCTAAATTCACTAAAATATATATTTGAAGCCTCAACTGGCATGTTTCTTGGTTATTTGTTGATCCCCGAAGGTATGAAAGTCAACTTAGATAAAATCCAAGCACAAATTAATATCCCGTCCCTAAAGAACACTAGATAAGTGTAAAAGTTGACTGGTCGAATTGCAACTCTCTTCCGTTTCATCTTGAGGTTGGGTGACAAGTGCGCAACATTCTTCAAAATACTTCGAAAGGCTAAAAACTTCAAATGAATGGTCGAGTGTCAAGAGGCCTGCCAAAGCCTGAAGGATTCCCTAGTGATGTTGTCACTTCTCCAAAACTCATAGTTGAATGAAGAACTCTCATTGTGTTTGAGAGTAGGCGTTGAGGCAATAGCTCAGTGCTAGTTAGAGAAGTGTCAAAGAAGCAATTCTTGGTCTACTAACCAGTCGTGTTCTCCAAGGAGCGGAGGCTGAATATTTGATTATGAATAAACAAACCTTTGCTGGTATTATTCGTGCTCACAGGTTGCGACTATACTTCCAGCGACATCCAATCCTGGTGTTTTCATACCATCCACTTACACTGGCACTTATCTGAGCATTCAAGCCGACTACTTAAATTAGCGGTAGAAATGAGTGATTTTGACATCACATATATCACCTGGATGACAATCAACGCACAAGCAGTTGGGAATTTCCTGATAGATTTTCGGAGCAACGGAGGTCGAGGCAAGGGAAGTCGGGCGAAGAAGATCCTACCAGTCAATCAATCCAAAGCAGATTTCGGGCTGACTTTGAGTAGCTCATCATGAGAAAACTTATAACACTCAGTAGTTGTAGAGTTCGAGGTGACAACAGTTTTATTTTCAATAAAATAATTGCAAACAAGGTTCACCAACTGCCATCAATCGGTGAAGGTAGGCGATGACAGCCAACGATTGTCGACTGTGGTCAACGGAGGCTAACAAGAAGTGGTTGACAGTGATTGGGTACTACGGATGCAAATGGTTATTGTTGAGTCTTTAATACAAATTTTGGACACAAAATTCATATTTGGCGTACAACGATTGCAAGAAGGGGTCATCAAAGGTTGATAACTAATGGTGGAAGGTGGTAACAGTTGGTTGTGGTCGATGGTGGTCGGCAGCTACGAAGTTAGTGATTATTTGTGGGGTTTTCAATACAGGTTTTAGATGCAACAGTCTTATTTAGAATACAATGATTGCAAGTAAGGGTTGCTGACGACCACTATTATGTGATGGTAGGAAATGATGACTTGCAGTGGTCGACATTGGCAGACAAAAGGTGGTTGACGACGATTGGCGGCTACTAACGACCAGGCTTATCGTCAAATCCTATCTCTAGAATAAGCTCTGGAATTCCTCTTCTTTGCCTCCCCCTATAAGTGAAAAGAACGATATATTTATAGGTTTTTGGGGAGGGGCATTTTGATTATTTTATGCGTAATTTTCCTAACCACCTGATCGGACGGTCTTGGTCAATCCCCTTAATTATATATGATATTTAAATGATTTGAATGTCATCAGAATTCAACAATCTTAATCTCATTTGATATCTTTCATCGATACGATCAATTTAACTATACATATGTCAAATTTGGAGTTCATTTGACCATTAAATTAATGAGGCAAACCCTTAAATGTGTTTTAATTCATGATATTGGCTTGATTAGACTCAAATTGAACCAATTTTGGTATCTTTGGGTTCATCTTGTTGAAAAAATCATTTTGAATATAAATTTGTCAAAATTGAGGCCCAAATGACATTTAATTTGAATTGATAAGATCATTTATAAAAAATGCATCAAGATTCCATCATAAAAGAATCATATGATGTCTCACTTAACCTAGAAATTGTCAAGACAACCATGGAATGGGAGATTCTAGAGAAGAACGGAATATAGAGAGCATGCTAAGGGACTCTAGAAGACTCAATCACATTCCAGCGAATGTTAGAAAGAAAAGCTCCAAGGATAACTCACGAATAACCTAGAAAGGTCTAGGGTTATGTATGTATATAAGAGAAAATTATAGAAATTAGTAGATTATAATGTAATTTAGAAATTTCCCTTAATCTTAGATGACTATAAATAGAAGTCTCTCCCCTTCATTTGAATCCATCAAAGAACCATCCAAGGTTCCAATCATCAAGTGTTGTAATCACACTTTTTTAGTAAAGTGTTTTTTTCTCCAATACTTCTTCTTATTCTTCTTCCAAGAGTGTTTTGTCCTTACAAATCTAAGTATTTTGAGGATTTGACTGATTTAGTGCTAAGGAAGAAAGCTAAAGCAACACAAGTAACTTGAGATAAGTCAGACTGTGACATCAAGCTCAAGCTTGTTTAATAAACAAGCTCATTTGAGCTTGAGCTTGTGGCTCGATAAGCTCGGCTTCTGTGCTTATTAATTTGCACTTCTAATAAAGAGTATAGTCAGTGTTTGTGATAATGGCAGTTGGTCATAGAACTCATAATTGGTAACTATAATAGTAGTAGTTTGTCATAAAGGTCGTTATTGGTTGCTACAAAGATAGTAGCTATGCATAAAGGTTGTTGTCAGTGGCTTCAATAATGGTGCTTGGCCATAGAAGCCATAATTAGAAATTATAATAGTATTAGTTGGTCACAAATGTCGCAGTTGGTTACTAAAATGTAATAGTTGGTCATAAAAGGCTATAATCAGTTAATGTAATAGCGGTGGTTGGTCACAGAGGTCATAGTTGTGAACTATAATAGTAGTAGTTGGTCATAAAGACTGTAATTGGTGGCTACAAAAGCAGTAGTTAGCCACAAAGGCTATAGTCGGATTACAACAGTTACAAGCAGGGGTTGTAGGAGGCCGGTGGTAGGCAACAGCAGGCGGTGATGGCTGGTGATAGTTGTCGGTGGTTGATAAGTCATTGATGACGATTGACAGCTATAGAGGCTGGTGGTTATTTGTTGGGCCTCCAATAAATTTGTTCTACATAAAAACCATATTTAGAATACACCAGTTGTAAATAGGGTTTGTAGTGGCTTATGGGGTCGACAACAACAGACAGTGATGGTCGGCAATGGTCGATGATGAATGACAGCAAAGGGTTGATGATGTTCATCACTTACAGTGGTCAGTGGTTATTTATCGATTCTTCAATGCAGGTTTTAGACACAATAGTTATATTTGCAATAAAATAATTGCAAACAAGGTTCATCAGTTGCTAGTAATCAATGAAGGTAGACGATGATAGCCGACGATTGTCAATTGTGGTCAATGGTGACTAACAAATAGTGGTTGGCTACTGCGGATGTCAATGGTTATCATCGGTTATTCAATAGAAATCTTGGACACGATCTTCATATTTGGAGTACAACGATTGCAAGAAGGGGTCACCACCGGCTTATAGTTAATGGTGGAAGGCGGTCATGGCTGGTGGTGATCAATGGTGATTGGCAGCTACAAGTCAGTGATTATTCATGGGGTTTTCAATATAGGTTTTAGATGTAAGTGTCATATTTCGAATACAATGGTTACAAGCAGGGGTTACTAGCGGCCACTAGTAGGTGATGGTAGGAAGTAAGGACTTCCAGTGGTCAACATCGGCAGACAAAAGGTGGTCGATGGCGATTAGCAGTTGTTGAGGTCTAGGGTTATTGTCGAATCTTCTCTCCAGAAGAGAGTTTGGGATTCCTCTTTTTCTCCTCCCCCTCTAAGAGAAAAGAGCAGCATATTTATAGGGTTTTGGGGATGGGTATTTTGATTATTTAGCGTGTAACTTTCTTAATCACCTAATCGGACGATCATGATCAATACCCTTGATTATAGATGATACTTAAATGATTTAAATGTCTTATTGAACTTAAAATTCAACAATCTTAGTCTCATTGGATATCTCTCATCGAGACGATCAATTTAACTATAAATATGTCAAATTTTTAATTCATTTGACCATTCAATTAATGATCCAAACCCTTGAAATGTGTTTTAATTGCTTGATATTGGTTTTGATTAGACTCGAATGAATCAATTTTGGTATCTAGATTTATCTTGTCGAAACAATCATTTTGAATATAAATTTGCCAAAATCAAGGCCCATATGGGATTTAATTTAAATCGATAAGATCCTTCAGAAAAATGCATCAAGATTTGAGCACGAAACATTTTGGTGTGAGAAGGCCCAATCATTAGGCCATCTTCTCATCCATTTATTGAATTATTCTTGCTTCATCTACATAGAACAATCAAATGAAGTCTCAATTAGAAAATGTTAGTCACACTCTCTACATCTACGTATGTAAAAAGGTAAATGTATCATGCAATTATAAAAGTCTTAAGTAATCTCACTCTAATCTAATTAAAATGACCCTATGAAGTGACTCATGTTTCATCAAATTAGAAAAATCCTAAGAAGTCACACTCACTTCATGTTATAAAACCTCATAATAAGCTACAAGCAATCATCAAATATTCCTAAAGAGTTACACTCATTTCCTCTAACTAGAAAATCTTAAAGATTTAGTAATTATCTGTTTAAATAAACAAATAAAATAAATAACATATGCAATGTCGCATATAAAAGTTGCTCTCAACATTACAATATCTAATAATCATAATAAGCATGCATTATGATCAAGATCAATCCAAAACATAATTTTAAACGTTGACAAACCATAGCAATATTGATGTTGCATCATCAATGAATGTATAGAATCACTTAAACGCATGATTTCAAAGAAGACAATGCTCATTTATGATCCTTCTTATAAAACTATTTAAACCAGGATGGTAAGTACCTTTCATTTCATGATAAATAAATGCTAAGGGAGAAACGTATATAACATTAAAATTCTTAATGGCCGAAGTCATCGATGGGTAAGGCTGTTGCTGCACCAAGCCTTCTGTATCAATCAACAAAAGAACTTGCATTTTAATGAAAAACATACGCCATCCGTGCACCCCCAAGCGAAGAAAGTGATATTTGGTGAGGATGGCCGACATTTTTTACAGGCGAAAAGAGCAATCTAAAAATTATTACTTGCGGACACGCATTCAAAATTTATTTGCGGTGTTTGATCAGGACCGTCAAACATTTTAGAGTGGGCCTCATTCTAACAAAAAGATGTATTTCAGTGATTCAGATCGAACAACGCACACATATTCGTGTGGGTATCCGTAGTCAATAAGCTCTCAGAGCAGTGATGCAAAATTAAAAACAATTATTCGGTTCATAATAGTCAAAATTAGCCCCCCTCCTTGATTTGTTCCACATCAAAATCCTTTGTTATTATGAACTTCAAAAGTACTTTTCAACCTCAACTCAATCAAAACCATATAGATAGAAATTTGAACAAAATAATAAAAAGTCTTCCCAAGCAATTAGAGAAACTACGAGAAGTCTCCAGTGGCTGCGGTTAGGACAATCTGATTACAGTTCTGGAGAGAAAAAAAAAAAACAGAACGTGGAAAAAGCTCTGACATCTTCATTTATACAGAAACCCAGGCAAACCACCTCGCAATCTTGAAAAGGGAAACAATCATGTATGCTTCTCAAGTTTCTCATTCTGAGAAAACGACGGCGATCCTCCACCTTCCACAAGGCTCTTCTTCCTGCTAAAGATGCCACTAAGAACTGGAATAAGAGCCTTCTTTGTGGGCGTTTTGTTCTCCTTGCGCTCATCTTTCTCCATGGATGGCAGTGGATTAGCAGCAGCTCTAGGAAGTTTAGCCCTTGGTGGCGTGGACTGGATGGATCCCTGAGGGGCGGTGTCAGCTAGTATCTGGGTTGCAGTTTCAGCAACCCTCTTCTGCTCCTTCTCACGCCACCTCCTCAGCTCTCCCTCCACAGCTTTCTTCGCTGCGTCGGCCATGTCTGCTCGCTTTAGCGCGTCTTCCGCAGCCAAACCCATGTCCTCAATCTCCTTCCTCACAGCCTCCAGCCTCTTGATTGCCTCATTTTCACTAGCTCTCACGGCTTCCACCTGAGCCATTGCAGCTGCAACTTTCATCTCTGTCAATTTCTCTGATTCCTCAACCTTCCTGCTCAAAGACTCGTACTCCTCCCTGGAGATTGTGATTTTTGCGCCAGATTCTGAGGTTGAGGAACGGACGGCATTGGCCTTCTCTGATAGCTCCTTGATCTGGTTAAGGGCCTTCGTCTCCGCCACCTTTGCCTCTTCAGCATCTCTTAAGGCAACCTGCAGCTTTGCCTCCGCCTCTGCTAATGTAATCTTCGCTACTTCAGCTTCCCTCCTGAGTTCATCTGCCTTCCTCTTCATTTCTTCTGCTTCTTTCTGCGCGGTGAGGGACTCTGCAGACAACTGCTGGAGGGCCAATGTTAGATCAGTAGAGGTTGAGCTTGCCTTTGACTCAGCGAACATAGCTGACTCAAGTTCAGACTTGCATTTTTGAAGCTTCAAATGAAGGTTTGCAGCAAGGGTTTCAGTTTCTGCGTCCTTAACTTGAAGTTCAGAATTCTCCTTCTTCAAAGCTTCCAGCTGAAGCTTCAATGACTCCAGCTCACTCCTCAGAGAGGCTTCTTCCTCTACAACCTTCTGTAGAAACTCTTTTGCACCATCCAACTCACTCGTCACTGTGGCAATAGACTCCATATCTGATGCCCGGGCATCTTTCATCTGCTTCTGAATCACATCAATCTGAGCTTCAGTCTCCTCCAGCTTCTTCTTCAGGTCTTCATGAAGTTCAGGATTAAAATCTTTCTTTAAGGAGGCCAATTTGGCCTCATTCCCTTCTAATGCTAGCTTGTAAGACTGTCTGCTGGTCTCCTTCTCTGCTCTGATTTTGGACTCATCCTGTTGAGCCTGTTCTGTAGCTAGTTTCACATGCACAAGTGACTCCTGTAAAGTTGCAATATCCTTGGCAAGTTGAGCGGCCTTCTCTTTATTGGCATCAGAGAGATGTTTCGCTTCAGATTCCTGGTGGATGGCCGTGATCTTAGCATCCATTGATGTCTCAAACTCCTTCCTGATCCTCCTAAGCTCCTGCTTTGCTGCATCCAGTTTGGAGAGGGCAACTGCATACTGCTCTCTGGCGCTGTCTAGTTCATGCTTCCAGGATGCATCCTTCTCAGAATGGTCACCGGGGCTTAACTCTTCAAGCAGCTCTGTTTTGCTTTTTGCAGCTTCTGTTGCTTTTAATGCTTCGTCCTTTGACTCATTGATGGTAATCAGTTTTTGTGTCAGCTCCTCAACAGCTTTCTTAGCTGTTTCAAGCTCAGCAAGAGCTTGAACCCTTGTTGTTTCTGCGTTATGCAGCTGCTCCTTGAACTTGTTTAGCTCTTTCTGAGCTATATGGAGTTTAGTCTCTGTAGCTAATGTTTTCTGTTACAAAAGAAAATGCTTATCAATAATAATTTTTAAGATAATTTAGTCAGAAAGTAAAAAAATGATTGGTATGAAGCAAAGTAAGAATTTTGCAGAAGCAGACGTCCAAAAAAAGAAACTTTCATGATCTGATGCTCCAAACTATGAATGTTAAACCTATCTTTTAAAGCTCCAAGTTTTGTTGAGGATTGAACCGTTAATAGATTTTCATGTATATCATGAGCATCAAATCAATAAGCAAATTGTTGTCTTACTAATACTTCTATTCTTCAGAGGTATAATTTTAAACTCAAATTTGTCCCTCAAGTGGTTTTACTACCAAATATGGGCTCTGAAAATTCGAAAACACCACGGCCTCCCTCGAAATAGAAAGAAAAAAATAAAAAATTAGGATAAGGAAAGTTTACGGTGAGGTTTCAGGTTAAATTTATAGAAGATAGATGAGATAGCCAATAAGACACTACCCAGATATTTCGCCTTCATTTTGTGAGGACTTTAAGATATGAGGTTCGAGGTTTCCCATAGGCACAAGCCCCTTGGTTAATTACCCTACCGATAACAGAAGAGCACTTTCGATTAAGACCAGTCATTAGACACTAAGTATTCTTACTTTGCATATGGTAGCAACAAATTTAAAATTTAAAATTACATATATATATCATTGTTAACTTGAATACTGATGGTGGGGGAAATGATGATGAACACAATCATCATGATTTTGTCATCACGAGTTGTTATGGTCACTTATCTACTTAGTCAACGGAGATAATCGACCCAACCTAACATGAGAATCCTTGTTAGTAGTCATGAGTTACTCCGTCCAAGAGAACCTTATAGACTTGGGATGAATGGTTGTCTAAGAAAACTAATCTAAGTCAATTTTAACTTACAAAAAACTTCATATCTTATTAACTATATCCTATGATTCATAAATCAAAAGGGTAAAATATGGGAAACATTCGAGCTACAGCCGTGACCGTTTTACAATGAAGCCTTCTAGCCAAACCACTTGATGGAGCCTATTGCTAAAGCACCTGGTCAATGGGCTATGGTTATAGCTGCTTCTTTTTTGGAGTATGCTGGCTAAATCACGCGAACAGAGGACTCGATCCACATCCTCACTGGCACAAAATTATTTTGAGTTTAAAATTAGTAGTATAGTTCATATAATATTGGATCTTTGTGAGCTCAGTTCAACCTTAAATTTGTCCACACCAAAAAACTGTTGTGAATGATGGATATATTTTATTTTTAGCTTTTCAGTTATTAATTTGCATTAAAATATTTTGAATTTATAATTTAAAATCTTAGTTTTATAAATGAACCCTTCCGATTAAGATGTACAGTAAATATGCCCATCATCATGAAGGTCTTTTAACCCTGTCGACTCCATCCCACTTAGAAAGGATCGGGCTCAAAATTATATTCATTAAATTTTAAACAGTTTAAAGTTTAATTGTGAAAATAAAGCTCTTCGGCTGAAATATTTTGTCAACTCGGTCATCATCGAGGAATGATATCTTTGAGCACACAAAGAGTCAAATTCATGATTTACATTAGTTGAATTTATTTGAATATTCTGTGGAGCTTGACAATAAAAATATACCACTCTAGTTGATATTCACAATTAACTTGGCTATCATTGAGGAAAATTATAGCATAAATATCATTGAAAGCAATAGTCATGTCAAGACCAGTTCTTGTGAGAAGGATCAGACTGATATATTTTGAGCTCAATCTTGTCAACTCCTGTCCTAATGAGGATCACACTAACTCAACAAGGAATTAATCTTGTCAAATCTGGTCCCTGTAGAGAGGATGATCGGGAATGTCAAAAGTGTGAGACTTACGACCTTGCCTTATAGGAAAGCGTCCTGTTGCCCGCGCAACATTCTCAAACCTTATGATTGAGCATTTAGCGCATTGGTCGGAGCACATTTAGAATTTTAAATTTTTTTAGACTAACTGTTAGGGGGACTTTATTATTATTTGTAAGTGTGTGTTAACATTAAAATTTACGCAAATATTTTTATCTTAAGCTTTTAATTTCGCCTTATGTCTGCTATAATTAGGGTCGTGGATCCAGTGGTGAGTGTGCTAGATTTTGTCTAAAGTCTTCTAATGTAAAGCCTTTTGTCTGCTTATGTAATTGAGTTGTGGATATAGGGCACATTTGGGTACGAGTGTGAATCTTGTTTATCCTTTAAATCATGAGTTTTATTGCTAGCAATTGCTTCTCCAATTGCTGTATACTTGAATGTTCGGCATAACATTTCATTCGCATCGATATACAAGCCTTCAAGTTCATTTAATTCTTAACTCCATATTATGCTTCTTTTATTTAATCATTTTGCATATTTTTTATGTTCATAAAACTCCATTTAATTCTATTTAAATCTTATTAAGGCTCAGATCGGATAGATAAAGGAGGTGGAAGCATGGGCACGAAATGAAGTAAGCAATGGGCTTAACAGAGAAGAATAGAGGGGTTTTTCTCTAATTAAAGCGCATCAATTTGTATGTCCTCGACTAATATATAAACTTCTAATAATTTGTGTGTCCTCCATAGGCAAGTCAATGTTCTAGACGCGCTCACGTAGTCCGTTTTATGATTGGTCTCAAACTGTTTGAGCAAAATTTGATGACGAGCGAGGAAATTCGAGTCTAAGGGCCTGTTTGGCGCAGCTGCAGATTCTCAGCTTTTCAGCTGCAGCTGCGCCGCCCCCCG